CATTATAACATGCCACCTCATTAGCAACACCAATAAAGAAGACATAGGAGGACATTTCTCATTGCTTTTTTTTTTTACGATTTATCATCATCATCCTGTGCATTATTATTATTATTACTACAAGTAGTAGTAGTAATCTGACCCATAATGTAAATCTTTACACTTGGTTTTGTGAATGTGCGTGTGTGTGTGTGTGTGTGCAGTAGAGCTGGACTGGTTGCTTTAGACTATAGACTACTTTACCTCCTAGAGACAATTTCCTCCGGCCAGTGACACAATTCATAAACATGGGGATACTAAAATCTTTATAATGTTGTCACTTGAAATGCAATGGGTGATATAGTGGTGAAGCGGATAGCACTGCCGCTTGTGTCACAATGAATGGTTGTTTGTCTCTATGCGATACACTGGCGACCTGTCCAGGGTGTACCCCACCCCTCGCCCACTGTCAACTGGTCAACTCCCCCGCAACCCTCAAAGGATAAACTGCAAAGATTTTGGATGGATGGATATTAAATGCAGCACATTACAGATTTTTGTATAAATTTGAATGTCCAACAACATTTGAAACCACTTTTAGACTTTAGACCAGGGGACACCAACACGGTACCCACAGGCACCCGGTAGTCCCCAAGGAACACATGAATAGCCTGCAGGACTGTTCTAAGAATAACACAGTTCACCAGTGAGCTGCGTCTAAAATTTGATATGCGTTTCTAATTAAATGTAGTTACTTACTTTTTATACTGTCAAATATTTATTATCATATTGAAGTTGACTATTGACTATGATTTATTAAAAGGGTTGGTCAGTGGTTAGTGAAAATTGAACATTTTTCTTATGAAATGTTGTAGAAATGATCATCTGAAAATTTAAAGAATCGCTGAGATTAATAGAAATAAAGGGTTGAATATAGATATTATCTGTTTCCCATCTTGTTAAGTCATTGTTAATAATTATTGTGTGAAATCATTAGCGTGATCAGTGTCTTCACATAGATGAGTATCATTTATCATTTACTAATAACCCTGGCTGCAACCCTAACAATAACCCCAATTGTAACCCTAACCCTAATTTCAGCCCTAACCCTATTCACCTTAGGGTGAATAACTCTGCGCTGCTTGCTCGAAACGTGCTGAAATTTGG